GTGACCTACCCCAAGAGGTAGTTGACACCATCACTTCGGTGAGAGCACCGTCTACGAGACACGCTTACGCCTTGAAGTGGTACCTGTTCGTCGAGTGGTGTTCTTCTCACCGAGAAGACCCCCAGAGATGCCCTATCAGGGTCGTGCTTTCCTTTTTGCAGCAAGGGTTGGAGCGAAGGCTGTCTCCCTCCACCCTCAAAGTCTATGTCGCTGCAATCGCTGCTAACCACCTTCGTAGAAGGGAAGTCGCTGCGGAAGCATGACCTGATCATCAGGTTCCTTAGGGGGGCTAGAAGGCTAAATCCTCCACAGCCCCCCTCTATACCCTCTTGGGACCTGACTCTAGTGCTCACAGCACTACAGCAGGGCCCATTTGAGCCTTTGCAGACAGTCGAGCTGAAGTTTCTGTCAATGAAAACTCTACTCCTGCTTGCACTGGCCTCCATCAAGAGGGTAGGGGACCTGCACATGTTTTCGGTCGACGATTCATGCCTAGAGTTCGGGCCGGCCGACTCCCAGGTAACTCTGAGGCCCCGGCCCGGCTATGTGCCCAAGGTTCCCACTACCCCCTTCAGGGATCAGGTGGTGAGCCTGCAAGCGCTGCCCCTGGAGGAGGCAGACCCAGCCCTAGTTTTGCTCTGTCCCGTCCGAGCCTTAAGGTGCCACGTAGACCGGACACAAAGCTTTAGGACCTCAGATCAGCTCTTTGTCTTTCACGGAGGCCGGCAGAAGGGTAATGCCGTCTCTAAGCAGAGGATGGCCCACTGGATAGTGGATGCCATCACCCTGGCTTATCAGGCACAGGGTGTGCCCTGCCCGTTCAGGTTGCGAGCTCACTCAACTAGAAGTGTTGCATCCTCCTGGGCGCTAACTCGTGGCGCCTCGCTGGCAGATATCTGTAGAGCTGCGGACTGGCCGACCCCTGACACATTTGTTAGATTCTATAGCCTTCGTGTGGAGCCGGTTTCCTCCTGTGTTCTCACCTCAAACGGGTAGAAGCACTGAGTGGCCCCGGCTTCGGGTCGGCTTGCTAAAACTGCTCCAGAGAGTCGGTATAGTAGACCCTGTTAAGCTCCTCCGTCCCCTCGGCAGCCAGATGTGGGCTGAGTGGGTAGTGCCATAGCAGCAGTAGCTGGTCCTCTTGTGGTAAGCCCTGCCCTGCGCCAAAAAGTAGGGGCGCAGGAGGCTCCCACAGGACACTGGAAGGGGCGGTATCTGTGGCCTTTTGGTAGGGATTCCAATTTGTCGGTCATCCGAGAGTGACCGACTGAAAGGGAACGAGGGTTCTGAAGGAGGGAACGGAGACATCACGTCCCATCGCCACAGCTCCTGTACCACCGCTAAGCGGCAGGGTCACCGGCTCGGCTCCTCAGCGAAAACCTGAATATGCGCTGCATCTGCTGCCTGCTTATACTCATGCTGTGATCAGCGGCATCTGGATGCAATAATCGCATGCCAATGTGCATTGGCTCGTTTAGTTTACACTCGAAGTGGATTGGTCTCTCTAAGCGAGATCCCAATTTGTCGGTCATCCGACGTGATGTCTCCGTTCCCTCCTTCAGGGAACGAGGGTTACCATACGTAACCGAGACGTTCCCACCCCAATCACCAGCTTAACAGCTTAGCTGTATTTGTACTTGAAGACTGTATGTCTGGTGGCACCCTCTTCTTATCCTGGCAGGGGCTGCTTGGGAAAGTGGCAAACTTTCAGTCTGGCAGGAAGAGAATATTGATTTATTTGTGCTATTATTTTGTCTTTGAAGTCGAATGAATACAGATGTTATGTTAGAGGACTATTTTGGAGTGTAATCTTGGAGAGGACAGTCAGCCTATACTCTTGCCTATTTCTCTGTTCACATACTGTTAAACACAAGACGAGTGATTTCTGAGTCTCAAATCTCGTCAAAAGTTTCTCCTCCGTGCCAATTTTTTCTCCACTTATTTTCCTTGATGGACATGAAAGGGGATTGATTTTACACGTTCGCATCTCTGCCTAGCCGAGAGCATCTTAGAGATGATTACAAACAAGAGTAGGACAGCAAATTAAGGATGTACATTTTTTACTGTGCTAGTTTTGTGCGACATTCAGTGTGCAAATTATACAATGACATTCAGGAAGGTTGATGTTTGTAAAGAGATATCTATATAGGAACAAAACCTGTTCAAGAAAGCATACTGTTGCTATGGTTACCTCCTCAGGTGAACAGTTTGTGAATAATACCCATTTACTACAAGGTGAAAATACCAGACCTGACTAACTTATTATCCAACTTCTGTGGTTACTTAGATATTTTAAATCTCCAATGAAGAGTATGTATATACTCATCTACAGAAAAGAATATGTAATTTTCAATAGTGATGCTCAATATATTGTACCTTATCATTTAACCGACAATATTTTGGTAACGAGATTTTGGTAACACTTTAATAAGTTCCATTAACATTAGTTTATGCATTAACTAACAATGAGCAATACATTTCTTACATATTTATTCATCTTTGTTAATTTTAGTTCATAAAGATAGAAAATTAAATAATATTAACTGATGCAGTTTTTGATTTAAAAAATGTATTAGTAAATGTTGAAATGTTGAAAAAAATAATATTAACTAGGATTAATAAATTATGTACTATTTTTTCCCTTTTAAATAGGTATTTGGATGTTTAATTGTGCACTCTCATTTTTCCTGTTGCAAAAGTTTGACTATGTTTGTTGTCGTCTAATTTTAACGCTCTAATGATTTAAGAATCATTAAATGTAATATTGGGCATATTTAAAAATGAATATCTATTTGTCATACTATACATTTCAAATGTTGTGATGCGTAAATTCACTTGTAGCATTTAAAACTGTTAATTTTAGTTCCCCTTCAGGAACTCGAGCTGCGTCCGAAGACACTACGGGAACTTCTCTAAAGAGATTTGGTGATCTTCAGGCCCTCTCAGTGGCCCCTTCCTATTTAGACTTTGCGCCCGGCATGGCCAAAGTGTTTCTCTACCCTCGAGCGGGGTATGTCCCGAAGGTTCCCTCGGTTATACCACAGCCTATCGTGCTGCAGGCCTTTTGTCCTCCTCCCTTCAGGGAGCCAGACCAGCAGAAGCTTAATTGCATGTGTCCAGTGCTCTCACTGGACACATACATCCACAGAGCTGCCCTGTGGAGGAGGGCGGACCAACTGCTTGTATGCTATGGTCCCCCTAATAGGGGTCTCGAGGGGGCCGATTGCCTGCATTGTGAGCGAATGTCATTGCGCTCGCTTCGCTCCCGGAAGGCTTTCTTCGAGGAGGGAGCCTTCACCAGCATTCCTCGCGGTGCTGGTCCCGCTTCAGCCGAGGCTGAGCGGCGGCTGCATTAGTGGGGTTCGCAATTGGATTTGGTGGAGGGAATGGAGACGGGTGAGCCCCTATCTCCTTCCTCACCCGCCAGATCCGGTGCCCGCTCTGCGGTTTCTTACCCCCGGGGAACGGGCTCGACGCTCCACCTATCTTCCTCCGAGGAGGTTGATGTGGAGAGCGCCGATGAGGATTCGCCCCCTCACACAGCACAGTATGAGGAGTTATTGGAGGTGGTCACTCGTGCCGTAGCTAAATTAAATATCGGGCTCGACGCTCCGCCTATCTTCCTCCGAGGAGGTTGATGTGGAGAGCGCCGATGAGGATTCGCCCCCTCACACAGCACAGTATGAGGAGTTATTGGAGATGGTCACTCGTGCCGTAGCTAAATGAAATATCGATTGGCCAGCCGAGAAACAAGCTGAACAGCAGAAAAGCAAATTAGATGAGCGCTTTCTGTGGAGTAAACTGCCACCTCCGCACCGGAGCCTACCATTTTTCCCCGATCTCCACACCGAGGTGTCGAG